TAAGGGATAAAGTTGAAACTTTTATTTTATTACTTATTACTTTTATCATTTTCAGATTTATTACTTATTACTAGTAGTAATAAGGAGTAATGTTATTACTTATTACTTAGTAATAAGTAATAAAAGCGTCAAGTAATAAAGTAATAAGTAATAACGAGTAATAAGTTGTGAAGAATACTACGAAATTTCTCAAATTGTATGTAAAAAGTCCGGAATCCAGTATAAATTTAAACAGTTTTCTAGACGTCCTCTAGAAATCCCAAGGAATCTGGAACCATCTCTGACCTATTCATTATAATAGATTATCTATATTCTGTAGGTTTCAGTATTCACAGACAATTTTTATTGTTATGAAAAGTTGTGCACCCTCACCCTCACCCTCACCGAAATCCAACTGAAAACCATCAATCCAAAGTATTTTCTACCGTCTTTTTATTTTCTTATTACTTTATTACTTTTTTATTACTTTCATCGCAGAAAAGATTTCTGCGATGAAAAGTTCTTTATCGCGATAAATTTTTCCTTTCGATAAATACTAGAAAAATGGGTGACCGGCGGATAAAAAATCATTTATCGAGATAAATTTATCAAAAAAGCCCTCATGGGCAGCGAATGACTAATGCATGATAATATATAAATAAATACTCAGTTTCAAATTTCGGTTTAGCTTCACAAAGGAAATTTCAAATCATAATCTGTTTTGAACACTCTGACTACTTCAAGATAGACGGTAGTTTATTAATGTTCAAGTTCACTTATGGGGAACATCGTTAAAAAACTATGTCCAAACATTGAGAATGTGGAGCTTACAGAACTATCGTACGAGAGAAGTACTGACAATATTTATTCTGCATGCGTCTATAATGATTTTAAAACAGTCAAAAGACTTTTAGAAACAATGACTATTGTGGAAATAAATCAAAAAAACGAAAACGGCGATACGGCACTTCACCTAGCCACACGCTATGGTCATACAAATATTATTCAGTTATTACTGGAGAAATGTGCATGGCGGTCAATTCGTAATGCAAATGGTATTACAGCGTTTGAAGAAATAGTAAAACCTAAACCAGTACTTGATGAATTTAATGATGAAGATGTAGCACGCTATGAGAATGAAGAACTACAGTACGAAACTGCAAAACGTGTATTCGAACGTGTCGGAGTACACAATCGATTCATCGGTGATTGTGCCGTAAGTTGGAAGTACAATGAAGATGAGCAGTTATCATTATTAAAACGTTTTCTTTTAATGCATGAATTTGGAATCAAGTTGGATCAATTTATTGATTCGATTATTGCCATTGAAAAAAATTATATTGATAAAGAACTTGGTGATATCAAAGGTTATGAAATTATTAAATCGTTCTTCGCTATGGCAGTTAAAGAAAGGAATTTTGTTTATATTTTAAAAGCACTTACGGCTGAAACAGATTTTTTAAAAATTCTAAATGTTAATCTTATACTGTATGAAGAAGAAGATCATGTGAATGCGTGCAACATTACGAGGTTAGCATCTATGATCTCATATAGCACTCCAAAACAGTTTTATCAGGAGATGGACAAAATTATTATCAAATTTTATAAACAACAGGACCATCTTTATAGGGTGGCAAAATGCATACCAGGTAAAACATAAGCGTGAAGTTCAAAAAGTAACCAATTTTCTTTTTAGCAATTATACTTCAGGTTGAACGTCAGTTCTTCTTCACGGGTCAAACATTTGGTGTCATGAAAATTATGGAAAAGGATCGAGAAAGTTACAGTATTGGCACATCGATTTATACGCGTACATTTTTATCGACATCAAAGAATCGTGACTACATTCAAAATATTGGACTCAACTACGATCCAGCTCCTGAAGTAATCATTACAATATGTACATATATAGTTAAAAAAGTCAATACTCCTATCGCTCTTGATCTAGAGTATATATCCGAGTATTCGTTTGAAAACGAAGTACTTATCGTTCCTTATACAAGATTTATAATCAATAACATTACGCCAAGTGATGTTATTGATGGTATTCTCGATATCGTGTTAGAATCCGTCGGTTGAAACGACGTTCATTTTTTCGTAATATAACTTTGATTGGTGGCCTGTAGTATATGTCCAGAATGTTCTTTGTCGTAAGCGTCATAAGAAGAGAAGAAAATGAGTATTGCAGAGAATATAAGCAAAAGGTAGGTTTGACTGAGCAACAGTCTTATCTAATCAAAGCTGTGTTGAATAGCATAGAGTTGTAAAGCAATGTTTCGGCGTCAAAAGAAGACAGGATGCCAAAGGAGTCTACTTATTAATAAAGAGAAATGATAGTGCGCGGTAGCGCAAGTTTAGGTCTACGAAGGTTGTACGAACAAATTCATGGTTTATAGTATCACTTTCATACATCATTTTGACTTTTTCAAAAAAGCTTTTCCTTGGAGTCTTAATTTACTATCTGCTTGAAAAAGCAATGCACTTAGCCATTTTACGAAGAACTCGAAAACAACAAGAGCTAAAGTGCTTCGGTTCCTACTACTCGATAGTCCAGATCTCAGTGCATCTTTGCGTAAGCACAAAGTCTTTTAAGGGATCTTTGGAAAACCATTTCATAAGGTGAAAATTCTCCTAACCTTTGGTGGTTTGGGCGCGGCACGAGATTTCTTCGAAGTCCTAGAATTGCTATTTCCGTAGGTTAGTCAAAATTGATGCTAAATACGTCGAAATATCAGGATGTAATCTATCATATCTGCGCAATCTGATTCTGTGCGTAAGATTAGTGAAAAATCTTTTCTTATCGAACGGTGGAAACTGGAGGCCAGTATCTCTTTTCGTTCTCGAGCTCTTCGCAAAATGATCGAATCCACTGCTTTTTCAAACGGATAGGAGCCAGTTACCGTAGTACGTTTTGACTGACTTTAAATATTCATCGCACAGCGCACTGATTCACTTAAGACATAATTCTGTTTTATTTTTCTATCAACCAGTGCTTTTCGTTTTGTTTCCTTACACAGAACACAATATTCATTTATAATTTCTACACTTATTGTTTCGAGTGGAAGTGTCGCTTAGCGACATATATTTTTGATAGAAGAAAGATTCTGAAAGCTGTCGATAGCAACATTATAGTAACGATACTTTGTGTAAGTCATTATACTAATGTCTGTTGGTGACTATGCACAACTGTTGGTTGAAAAGCTTAAGGAACAACTGTCTCCTTTTGACGCCGAAACGTTGCTTTACACCTCTATGCTATTCAACACAGCTTTGATTAGATAAGACTGTTGCTCAGTCAAATCTACCTTTTGCCTATGTTCTCTACAACGCTTATTTTCTTCTCTTCTTATGATGCTTACAACAAAAAATATTCTGGATATATGTTAAAGCCAAAATTTAAATTTGGCCATACTTCAAATTTGAATTCTGCCTAAGATTGTTCAGCCAAATTTAAAATCTGATTAGCGATCATCAGCCAGAGATCAAATTAAGATTTGAATCTTGTTGTGACTCTCATTTTTGGCTAGCGGAATTTCAAATATGACTACTTATAATGAGTGACAGCTCTTAGCTTCTTCGTGATACTCACCGGTGCTTATTCATTCCACTGCGAAAAGATTAATTTTTAGAACTTTTACTTTCATGATTCTCAAATTATAAACATTCACTAACGGGTAAGATAAGTGGAATTTTGATTAAGTCGAATTTAAACACCCAGGACACTTAACTGACATATTGTTGAACAGCCTACTCCCATTTTACATAGGCAATGTCTAATTCTGAAATCTTTTCTTGTGTACCTTCTTCAACTACTTTCGGTATGATCAGTATTCCGATATGATTAATTTATCCCAAATTATCCTAAACCCGTCTGATTGTAGTTGTATCATAATTTGGCAGAATATCAATTCCATTAAACCCCTCTCCCCTCTTCCCCGTTTCTGATCAAAATAAGACCTCGCACAATTCTGTTTGACCTTGCATCAAAAAGTTACACACAAGAAGAAGAAGTCTTTTCCTAGAAGTCCTAAAATTGAGCTTTTTATACAGCGTTTCCTCTAGATGGAAGTTATACTCGAAGTGTTTCCCGAGATTTTTAATAGCGGTTTGTCGTAAAGAGTTTATTCTTTTTCTGTTTAAAAGAGAAGAAACTATATGGACCGATCAGCGCCGATTTTTGGATTAGGTCTTAGTTTTTTGTCAAATTGAGGAATTTTAGAAAGCTCAGAAGGATTTTTCGGGTTTTGGAGTTTGTTGGTTACCTGGAAAACCAATAAAGGCTTAATTGAAAAATCGGTACCGGTCGTTCCATCTAGTCAGGTGCCTAGCTTAAAAGAAAAAAACGAATTCTCCAGCTTGAAGTATATGAAAAAATCTTGGAAAGCACTTCAGGATCCTTTTTAGACCTTGATCGCTGGAAAACTCTTAAACCGTAAGACTTGGAGACAAAAACAATTTTTCATTCCCGTAACTCATTGTGCCTAACATTTATGGAAAGTTTCGTCAGATCGGATGCACGGTGTCGGAGATAATTTTTGACGGGGAGGTGCCCTTAATGGAATTGATATTCTGCCAAATTATGATACAACTACAATCAGACGGGTTTAGGATAATTTGGGATAAATTAATCATATCGGAATACTGATCATACCGAAAGTAGTTGAAGAAGGTACACAAG